GCTAAGGTCGGAACGTCCTAAAAGAAAATGATGGGATTGAGCTCCCAGCTTACCAATCACCACATATGGATGCTGGGGACTAAGTGCGGGCCTAGGTGCTCCAGAAGAAGCTCAAAGAAACTTACAATTTGGCAAAGCAGCGCCACAGTTTGCGCAAACACTAACAGGATCTTGCTGTAGTCGTTGCCAGTTGCCACGTGCCCGTGCTGCGCTGATGACGCGACGGCGATTCAGCGCAGCTCAGTGACTCTAGGGCGTGTTACGGATTGATGCTCGATGTAGCGAGCGGAGCGATTCCAGAGCATCGTGACGTCAGGCAGTGCATTCTGGCCAAACCAAATTTGCTTGTGCAGTGTGAATTATAAAAATTAAAGAGTATTGAAATATATGCTAGTCCTGCTATTAAACAAGTCGATGTTTTTAGTATAGTGGGCTTTTAATTTTTTATTATAAATTAAAGGCCAGCAGTTGGCCTTCATTCTCTAGTGGCCCGTAGGACATGACCTAATTGTCCTAACGGATAAAGTGTCCCTGAGAAAAAGTGGCTATGATGAAGTGATATTTTTTTGAAATATCACTTCAAATAAAGTCAGGAACAAAAAAACAATTTTGTATTTCGGTTTTTTCCGGATATCTCCGGAAGTATTCGGATTATGCTTAATATCAAAGCGGCATTTTGTTAAGCATCAAATTACGCAACCTTTCCCCGATTCAACCAGGCCTGTATCTTTCACCGTTTCCGAGATCCCAATGATGTGTCTCGAATTTGAAACACCCTGTACCTACATGTATGCTGATCATTTTCGGATGGATTTTTATTCATAAATATCGATTGGTATGCTCGGCATACGTTATACTATCATTCTAAAGCTCGTTTTTCTTTTGAACAATAAACAATTAACTTCTTCAGTGCAAGTCCTGCAGTCACCCGCTAATTTTTTTTGCCGGTTGACAAGCATATCAATAATTACCAGAACCTCAGAGGGCATACCTTATACTATCGTTGTACTTTCTACGGTCTATTACGGTATTTTGAAGACTTTGTTGCCATATTTTGACGTTTAATGGTATATCCAAGGCCAAAGGACTTGAATCCAAAAAGTGACAAAAACGTCTAGAGGTATTGATGTTACCTTGGTAACAAACCATATTGTAATAACTACAATTTTTTCCGAAATGGCACAAACGCAAACATTTTGGTTTTTTACATCACCTACTTTATCGCCCCGTATATCACCCCTGGGGTTCTATAAAAAATTTACAAGTAGCTTTATCCGGAAGAAACAGGCTATTAAACTGCACAAACCACATTAAAAAAACTTTATTTTTGTCGCAAATATGAAACTTTGAATATTGCCTAAAAATCTGTATATGACGTTCGAGTGTCCAGCAGTTTAGTTATGTAATTATTTTTGACATTAATGCGCTATTTGAGGGTTGAGAATCCGGGCATCAGGCATCAAATAGTGTGTTAACGTCAGAAATAATTACATAACGTTTCAAATGGGGTTTGGTTCGCATTAGGGTTCTTCCAAGAAGAAATGCTGAAGATATTCAACAATTTTAACCGTAAATGTGCCAAACTAAAAATAAAGAGACCCGTTTTTTTTTAATTTTTCCAAAAAATAAACAGGCTCTCTAATACTGAATTTATTCCATTTAAAAATTCCACTCTGTGTTCACAACAGTACAGGATGATCTACTATAAATGTCACCCCGTTCTAACTTTTTCATTTGACATTTTTGACGAAAGTGTCAAATACAAAAGTTTCAAGAAATTGTCGAAAGTTTTCAACTAAGTCAGTTTTAGGCATACAGGGTGCGTCAAAAAAGTGCAGCAGTGTCAAGTTATATTTTTTTAAATGGAACGCCCTGTATATTGTGCTCTTATTTGTTAGTCCCTTTTAACCTAATTTTAACGATATATGATTTGATATGTCTACCTTCAATAGTTATAGGAAAAAACATGAAAACTCCTTTCAAGGTTTCATATTGAAAAAAGAAAAATTATAGGTACCATTTAAGCTTTGAACAATATTTTTTATAAACAGTTTATTTTTCAAATTTTATTCATCAATATACAAGGTGAAATATTATAATGAATCCAGATATCTAAGTTATTATTATTATTTTTAAAAAAATAACACTGAGACCTATAGGAAGGAATTTTCGCGTTTTTCCCTATAATACACCAAGCAAATCTACATTTTTGAGTGAAGTGTTTCCGAACAGTTATTTTAAAACGGTAATCGATAGCTCTTCTATAGTGTAGAATGAAAATCCAAAAGTCCCAAAAAATCGCATGTGAGCTAAAGTCGCCATTTTGGAAAACATGGCCGCCAGCGTTTTTTCTCTTTGACAGTGATATTTCACTTATCGTTGGTCAACAACCATCGTACGTAGACTTCAGAACTATCAGTAAATTTTTTACCTTTTTTCATTAAATGCGACAGGGAAAAAGAATATGAGCTGTTGGATCCCTAGATTAGAACGCCAATGGCCACCTGACATCACACCTGTTTTTGCCATGAGCTTCACTATCCAATTTTTCGCCTATATCGTCTTTTTTCTTTTTACTCGCAATTATAATTGACTTGACTGCAATCTTTTCGCTCCCACATTAACCACTCCACTTTCACTTAATGGCTTCTTAGAAAATAAACAAATATTTAAAGCATCCATTTTCCAGTTATGCAAGTATTGTTACTATGGTTGAACCAAGTCCAAGCAGCAGTAATGACATAACTGGTCATTTTCATTATAACCTATCAAATGTCCTCCGTGCATGCCCACTAGTCCTGGATAGGGATTCTAATTACTCGAAGTCGAAGGATGCGACTTGGAAATAACATTGATGTTGCACGAGACGCTCGACTCGTATCGACTAGTGAAATTGTAATCCGGCTGCTGGTAGAGCGTTTCAAGCAATAGGATGGCTGCATTACCAGCTGGTGTTTGTTTACAATTTAGGTTATTTAATGTCATTTACTGCCGTTTGTATTTGGAAATGGTATAGATTTACGATAAAAATTTGGTTTCACTTGATGCTAGGCACGGAATTAAATTATTTATCTTCAAAACTGCTAAATTTAAAACTTGTTTTAACTAGGAAAAACTGGTTAAACGTGGTAGCTGAATTATCACTGTTTGAAAGAAAGACGTTAATGGCGGCCATGTTTTCCAAAATGGCGACTTAAGCTCACATGCGATTTTTTGGGACTTTTGGATTTTCATTACCTATACACTAAAAGATCTATGGATTTCCACTTGAAAATAGCTGTTCGCAAACACTTCACTAAAAAGGCTATAATTATAGAAATTTGCCTGGTCTATAACTATTGGAGATAAACCGAGAGATAAACAAATCAAACCATATATCGTTGAAATTAGGCTAAAGGGGACTCACAAATAAGCGCACAAAATACAGGGTGTTCTATTTAAGAAAAAAACTTCACACTGCTGCACTTTTTTGACGCACCCTGTATGCCTAAAACTGACTTAGCTGAAAACTTTTGACAATTTCTTAAAACTTTTGTATTTGACACTTCTGTCAAAAACGTCAAATGAAAAAGTTACCAGGAGGTGACATTTATAATAGATCACCCTGTACATAAAGTAAGGCTTTATTGTATGAATAATTTTCGAGGTATTTAAATAATGAGTCAATAAAGTGTGGTTATGTGAGTGTTATATAGGTACATGATTTTATGTACGATTGTGACTGGTTTTTATTAAAAATTTAAAAAGTTGAATGAAAAAATTAAAATTCAAGTATACCTGTTTCACCTTGGCAGGTTGTCAGGAATGTCAGGTAGGTAGTCCAGGTAGGCGATAAACCTTGCGTTCGGTATTTTGCTCAAAGAGCAGAGCGTGCTGAGCGGAGCCGTAATCACGTGACCAGTGAGCGAACAGAGCAGTTGAACGCTGAATAAAAGTGCCAGAAATTTTAATAAACGAACGCGAATGAGGTTGCACCGAGTACACTTTTTAAATAAACGAACGGTAAAGTCAAGCTCGGAGAACTCGGACCAAAATAACGAACGCACGGAAAGTAGCACTTTATTTTACTAGTAAAATAAAACTTTATTTTACAGAAAAATAAAGTGCTACTTCATTGACGCGAAACTGTTCTATTAATAGGTAGTACCTACTTTATTGGTCCATCGGACATAAATATATTTTGATTTGATTTGATTTGATTATTCCCAATTTGAATTCTATAAACGCTTTTTGGGCAGGCGTGATTTTCCCGAAAAGATTAATTAATTTATAGTTGGCACCTCAGGAACCGATGGCGTGCCCGAAGGGCTCGGCACAAATTTGATATCTATGTTCTCAAGATTCTCAAGAAGAAAAAAACGAATTCTTAGCACACTTTTTCAATAGTTTATGATTTGAACTTGATACCGAGCCGAGCCCTTTCGTTCTTATGAAACCATTGCTAATTTGAGTTTTAAGTATGTTGAGTTCTCTGAACACACTATACAGTCCCTTGAAAAGCTCAACTATTGTATAATCTGAGTAATTATTGCTTTAGGACCTGTGGCGTACCCGAAGGATTCGGCATAATTTTAAGATTCAAATTCACACCAAAAGAAGAATATCAAACTTTCAAAATTTTTTGAGGTTTTGAAGCAGTCAGTTTAGTTTCAATTGATGTTTTAATAAGAATGAGATCACTGCCTCGACAAATTCAACCCCATTATTCCAGGAATAATTTAAAATTAAATCAAATCGTTCCCTAAGTGACATGAAAAATGCATGTTTTGGAATTGTCAACCTATATAGCATTAAAATTTGATCAAAATTAGGTTAAATTACCTTGAAGTAGTTGTGCAATTCGAATAAACTTTCTTCAATTTTTCGAAATTTTCGGTGAATTTGTTTAGGTTTCAAACAATAAGAATGCAATTTTCAGATAGTTTTCAGGGAGTACAACATGATATATTGTAGTCTTCAAGCTTTCTCGAAATAAAATACAACAAAATAATATGTAATTATGGGTATCTTTTATTATATTTATTTATCATTTTCACATAATTATTCTATTGACTAGAATTCAACAAGGTATAAAACTTTTCAATACAATATTTAAAATTCTCGATTTTCAATCTACGCACTGCTATTCGTATTTCCTTCTTTTGAAACCACCAAGTGAGTCCAAAATTACGTCACCATTCTAAAGCTTCTGCACTATTTTAAAAAAACCCTTAAGACTTTTTTGTTTCATCCATCCTTCTAACGAAAAAGTAGTCAATAGCAGAAAGAGCAAACGCATTATTAATCGCGTTCATTTTCCTCTTCATTTGGTGCCTCTTGTCTTTTTTAGCAGAGATATTTTTAAATGGAGGTTGTGTACTAGAAGGGTGCAAATAATCATACAAACTCCACATATGATTATTATTAGTTTTCCTTTTAGCCAATCTTGTTGTTGTGGTGGGTTGTTCTGTGGTAGTTGTACTGGTTGTGGTTGAAGCTCTAGAAGTTTCAAAAAATTCTCCTACCAATAATTTATTTGGTTTCGTGTATCTGTAATCGCTTAAATCACTAGGGGTCAAATCAGGCTTGGTGGGAAATAATGTTTCCACGTTGTTCGATGGAACAGCATCAGATTGCATCGATGCGGTGGGCTGATGGTAAGATGAAGAGTAATCGGAATCTCCTGGGTTATTTTGAGGTTGTTCGACGTCGTCAGGAAAACAGCACACCATTGGAAAAACGCCATCGAATCCGCACTCTTGTCTCCTCAAAAATAGTACCACGGAACGGGATAGAGGTCGCTTGAGGCCTGCTATGAGTTTCATGTAGGGGCTGCATTCGGTAAGACGAACGCAAATGCCTGATTCTCTGCAGGACGGGTAAGCTTGACGGATACCCCGGTAACCTGAAATTGATAAGGAAGAGATTAGTTAAATGAAACGAGGCAAAAACTAACAAAAAAATTTAAAATAAAAAAGTAAAATAATGACCGAAGAAATGAAAAATCTTTCATAAAGGCACGAATGACCATCAAAAGCTCATTTTTGTTCAAAATATCTATAATACTTAGTTGATTTATTGTACCTAATAATTAGTGATCAATATTTATTCAAGAAACAACCTGAATATAAGGCAACATTTTAGCTCTTTATAATTTTACTAAAAAAACATTTCTCCAAGTGACTTTGGATATGTTTTATATCGATAACCAGATAAACTTTGTCATGCCTCTCAAAGAGGCAAAGCGAAAAAATTTAAACAATACCAAAAAAAAAATTCTAAACTTACCATAAACAAAATCAATGCAGCAAATAATAATAAACACCAAGAACAAGGTTGAATACATTTTTCCTTTTTAAATAAACACTTTTTTCACAAAAGACAAAATACTAAAAATATCTAGGTACACTTTACTGTACGAGATTCAAACTCAAACTAACTCTTCCAAAACCTCCCAACACCCATTTTATTTTCAAATTTTATTATGATTATGATTATGGTAAACATCTTTTAAATTACCCTAAAATTTCCCACGCCCTATGTGGGGAAATTTGTCATATTTTACAACCCCAACAGTACGTGCCTCAGGTAGATAATTTAATGCTGCCTTATTGGTGTTTGTTTATTTGTCTGATGCCTCCTTAAGACGAACCTCATTATTAAATTGTCTCGCAAGTTGGAATTCCCCATTGGTTTGATGATTTTTGAATTTTATATTACATGGAATATTAAATTGGGTTTTTCCGAAATTATTGTTTCAAAAATAAATTGGGCCTTCGTAAATTAAAAAATAATCAGAACTTTGTGGATTTGTTTTTGATTAGCTGAATACCTGGCGACATCTCTTAAAGATTCATTTGAAAGCTTGGAGAATGTGTAAAGGAACGATAATGAATGGTCGCTTTAGTTGAGCTAAATATTTATAGATGACGCCGCTTGTTATTTTTAACCACAAAAAAACGATTTAAAAAAATTGTCTTCACCACAGAAGGTAATTGGATTGGATTTATTTTATAAGCAGAAAAAAAAAACTAAAGCTATTTTCGGTTATAATTTATGCATGAGGAAGCATCTCTATTAACCACAATCCGCAATAATTCGATAACTTTTTTCATCTTTAATGCCTAGATACCCAGTTTCTTTCAGTTTTATAATTTATGGTTGTTGATTTTTAGGTCAATAATGGTCTCTTCTTTCATCAATCAATGATGTAATGATTTGTTATTATGTAGTTGTTTTTTGTTGTTGCAAGTTTTTATCGGGATTATTAAAAAAATGGGCTAGACTTTGTTGGTTTATTGAATTTTTAGGAACTTTCAAAATACATTCTCTTTGGGCAATATTTAGTTTTTATATTTATTTGTATCGTGAGAAATTACTTTTTTGATTTCTGCTTGGACAAGCTTTTGCAAAGGATTATAGGTTTACTCCTTATGGCAATAATCGCAGATTTATTTCAGTCAGTTAAAAATAGAATTTTACTGGACTAGGCCAATAATTTTTTTTTATTGCATACTTCTTCCTGTATCTTCATTTCTTTATAAAACACACCTTTACTTACTTACTAATTGGTTCAATTGAGTCCGAAAAAGGAACTTTTGCAATACTGAGTGCGCTAAAATCAAATTTCACCGATCCACATCTCAGCCCGCAGACAGCACACAAAGTCTCAAAGACGTATTTTTTAGGTCTGAACGTCTGAATACCAAAAAAAATACGTTGTTTTGAAAATGTCCATAAGATACGTAAATCCACATCTTAAGGAAAACTAAGCCTAAAAGTAAATAAAGGTTTATGTATTGAAAAGAGATTCAAAGACGTCTTTGAGACATCCTGTTGAAGACGTCCTTAAAATGTTTAAGTCTCAAAAACGACTTTGGGCAGACGTCTGAAAGACTTTAATAAGCCTTTTGGAAAGTTCAAAACACATAAAATTAAATTCAGGAATTCCAAAAGTATTCTGTAGCGCTTTAGAACAGTTTGGAAACTTCAGAACCATTTTAAAATGCTCCAATACATACAAAAACCTATTTATAATTTTCAAAAGCATTTTAGAACAATTCAGCAACTTGAAACGCATTTTAGGACGCTTCAAAATACTCAAACATTCTAAAATCTCCAGAAACATTTTGAAAAGCATCAGAATCTTAGAATTCAAGTTAAAAGTTACAAAACGCCTTTCAGAATGCTTTCAAGAGCGAATTTAGATTGCTGTAGAACCACAGACCTTTAATAAGCATTCAAAATAGTTCAAATGCAAATTAGAATTTTCAGGAGCATTTTTTTTGGAACAATTTAGCAACTGCATAGTTATTTAAGAACAAAGGGTCATTTGCATCCACTTAAAGTATCGTACGGAAAATTAACGTAACGGAACTGAGAAGGTGTGTGTTTACAATGAAATTAATTTTCCTACGTGTAATCATAAATGACATTGATAATCACAGACTTAAGTTCAATCCAATAACATTTCACTAATGGACCGGCCCTGGCCATATTCTCAAACAGTGTTTGTTTACAGCCAACAATAGAAAGATAGGTCCGAGAGAGATGGAGCTATTTGAGGCAAACACTCATATTTATATCTAAGGGCCATAATAGATCATTCGGCCATCTTATTTTGCAATTAAATGCAGCACAGGGAGGAACCAAATTGATATTTTATTGGCCTTTTACTCAAATATAACAAAATAGTCAGATGCAGGAGTGATATGTAAAAAAAAAAAACGAAATTAAACCAATCGGAATAAATTAACGTTGACACAAACGTTGACAAATCCCGTTGTGTTTTGCCTCAACTAGCTCTATCTTTCTCGCACTGCGTTGGAATCAATAAATCGCCACCTAGGGCCGGTCCATAGTGAAACGTAATATGATGTCATTGGTTCAATCTATGTTTTGTGTTCAATCTGTCAGTCATTCATAATTATTGAAATACGCACGGATCTCCTTAAATTGAAGTTGTTTCAAAACTCGAAAATTTACAGGAGGTCCCATTTAAAAAAATTGAAAAGCTTAACATTTTTGCGAAACATGGCAACACCGCGTTTTTTAAACAAGTATTTCAAATTTGAATATAGTCTAAAGAACAGCATTATTTTATAGAAAATATCATGCAAAAAAAAGTTTAAAAAGTTTTTTATGAGTAACGTAACAATGACTGTTGAAAATTACCCCAAATCCTGAAGATAATCCCTAATAAGTTCGAAACGGTATATCACAGACACATGACCAGTATATCGTTGGATTTGTCTTTCAAAGGGCTATGTAAAAATGTATCAAAATACAGGATGTTCCATTTAAAAAAATGAAATTTTATTTGTCCACCCTGTATATATTAGAGTGACAACGGAAACAATACAAAAAAGTTGTAGATAATTTTATTAGGAACAACTTTTGTATTTAAGTTTTTTCTACAGCCCTTGTAGATTCCGATATAAGGTATAGGCCCCTCTTAAACGGGCCACCCTGTACATGATCTTCAACTTTTCTTTATTATTAATTTTCCGTAGGTTAAGTGGATGTAAATGACCCTTAACAAAATTCACTATCTAAATCGTATCGCAGTCAATTTTAAAACTTAATACTACTAACTAATACCGGCCTTTATATATCTGTAATCGATTCTTGTAAAATAATAAAAATAAAATAATAACAATAGACATTTCTACGAAATGTCTATTGTTATTGTCATTAAGTTGTCATTATTAATATAATATGGTTCTATGCGAAAAAGATAAGATAGCTGTATATAGAAATAGTGATTTGTCTGTGGAATTTAAGCGCAAGTAATTATGGCGATCAAATACACTGAGACTGTGAAAATGTTCTTGGTTCAGATGGGAGCTCAGCATAGAGTCATAGTTGAAAATAAAAAAAATAGACGCCATATTAGGTTTGTTCGGACTTAGTTCAGATGCAGTTCTGAATTAAACTGCACTTGCACATTTGTTGATAAAGAACATAAATAAACAAATGCGCAAGCGCAGTTCAATTCAGACCTTATTCTGAATTAAATCCAAACAAACCCATTATTGTAGGGAAAACAGGGTGCCTGGGATGAAAATTGTATTTCCTTGATCATTTTGTAGATAACCAACAACCATGAAGTTGCTTCGCGATATAAGAATAATAATTGACAAAATAAGAATAATATTACGTAGCGAAGTCAATTATTATTAAAAACTAAAAAACGAAAATTATACAGAGTTTAAAAAAAAAAGTGTATTAGGTACCGGACTTCGAAAGGTGATACTACATATGAAAATAATGAAAAAAGTTCCTATGAACATATGCCCTAAGATAATTTTTTGTTTTGTGAGTAAACTACCCTCTACCCTTATTGAAACTACCCTTTCGGAATTGTTACGATTTTTTTTACCATCACCATTCGCTTTGGTATCGAAATGTATGCGAGAATACCAAATTTCAAGGAAAATAGTTTGGCACTGATGCAATATTCGTGAAAATAAATAAAATCTATTATTTTCAACTACCATTTGAAGGGCTGTAACTTCTTCAGGGAGCATCTTAGGGCATATTCATAGGAACTTTTTTTCTTATTTTCATATCTAGTATTACCCCTCGAAGTCCGGTACCTACACTATTTTTTTTACACCGTGTATATACAATTAATCTATTTATTTTTTGATGTTTCAACTTTCTGTTTCTTTTTCCTCTGCCAAATGCGAAGTCTAGCGACTTAAAATACTTTGTTCTTTTGTAATATGTGAGCGAACTTGCCTCTGATGAAGAGGACTTCTTGCCTCGAAACATGTAGAGCGCTTTAACTTGATCAAAGTATTTTGTGGAGGAAGCCTTTGTGTATTCTTTAGGAATTTCAACTCCACTTTGAGAAATGGACTACTTCTTTAATTTAGAATCCCAATGGATTCTGCATGTCTCGATTCTTTAATGTACCTTCTTGGCCTCCGCAGCACAATCCGCGTGTGGCTAAATTCACCAAAATGTTGCAATGCCACGGATGCAGTGATTTATCGACTCACTAATGCATGCTAATGTCTGTTTACTTTAATACTGCTTTTTCTACCATTCCACCACGCTGCCTATACCAGCTGAATTTAGCCACATGCGGTTATCATCATCAGCGACATTTATCTCTACAAATAAATTTTCCAGCTCATCCATACTAATTACAATACTTAAAATAAACTTTGCACATCAATGAAATACAGTTCACGTACTGTCACCAATTAGGTTCACGTGCTGTCACCAATAGGTTAGAAAACCAGTCTCAAGAGACCTCTGGATATTCCTCAAGTCAAGGAAGGAAATGTGCCGAAATACGCATGAGCGGCGTAAGGACGCCTTGACAATTTTGACTCTGCAAGACAATTTACTGCCAAGGTCACCTTCAAGGAATCCTCAGCACTCAAGTAGGCACTATGAATACCGGACTAAGTGCTTGATTCAAGTGCACTTGGATGAGAACTTGCACCAAGTCAGTTGGCAGACAGCCCACTTACTTGGATGTTAGGACCTATTCAACTTAACTTGGATAAACAGTTGGTACGATCCAAGAATCGTTCGAGTGAGTGGCGCGCAGCGTCCATGGGAACTTGATCCAAGATCTAAGTACACTTGGACCAGCGTTGCCAGATATACCATTTAAATGGTATTTATACCATTTTTTCTTCCGTGATACCTGCAAACATTTTGAGGATACCATTTTCCATTTTTGTACCATTTTTTGATGACAGTTACCATTTTTTGCATATACCATTTAATAAAACATTGGGGGTGTTCAAGCGATTGACTAGTCGGTAACTTTGACAGGTGAGCAACGGATTTTACGTCATTCAAATTTCAAGACCA